ACTCAATATACCCATAACATATTTATTACTATATTCAATTAGGCATGTATATCTTATATGTCATCAGCCAAATTATAAATTATTTATATAAATTTTGGCCAAGATCAAAGCTGGATAAATATGGTACATTTGCAAGACAACAATTCCAACAGACTTACTAAGGACAAGAACTATGGAACCTTTGCCTTGTAAAGGTTTGGTCACTAAAGCCTGAAGTTGAGAGGGAGAGGGAAGGCAGTCACTGGAAATGAGAAGAGAGAAATCCTGTAGGTTTTCTTTCTTTCCTTCTTCTTCTTTTTTTTTTTTTTTCTTTTTAACAGTAATAGAAGAGTGAGTTTTGTTTGAGAAACACATTCAGACTCCTATGATTTAAATGAGTTAGAGCCAAGAAAACTTCTATACACTCCCTTCATTTAAATTCCCTGGTTTCATTTTGGCCATCCCCACCCAGAAGTGACAGAGTATGGGACTATTTTGTTGTTTAAATTAAGAGCTTGTGTTCCCAAAAGAGTAGGATACATACACAAATCCTATCTGTTACTTTTTCATTGTAGGATGATATGAGTCCAATTAATTCATCAAAAACTTAAAGAGACAACCACAACTTATTGTTTTCACATAAATTTGTGGAAAAAACATCCAAGTTAAGAAATGAATCTATCACGTGGCCTGGGTTGTTAATCATGACTGCATTCCTCAACTGCCCATTCCTTTTTCATTTACTCTATCAGTATGTTAACTAGATGCATTATTTGACTGATGGATTAACCTAATACTTCTCAAATGTTTTTCCTTTTCATTCTTTTCTTAATTAGGTTGCTACAATTTCAGTTTTCATTTGACCAGTGTTATTAGAAAAGGATTTATTTGTGAATCTCTTGAGTTCCAAATAAAAGCCTCCTTCTTTTCCTAAGTATAGAAATGACAAGTTTTACTCACTGGGGATGGGATCAATTATTAGACTGAGGGTAGTGACTGCTCTCCTCTCTTTATTATTTATTTATTTGTAATTAGGAGCCCAAAATGGATAGAGGGGGAATATCAGCTTCCAATTTGGTGTGCTATGGATAGAACAGGACATGGCATCCCAAACTCAGGCAGAAATTTCAGACACAAAGTCCTATATAGTTATTTAATGCTGATGATTGAAGGATTAGGGTGGATATTTGATGCAATTATGATGGCTAGGAAATGGATCCTATGGGAGATCTTTATGGTTTTGGATATGTGTTCTCAAGGGTAGTTCTTTGCAGAAGGTTGGTGGTGTAAGTTGAGTTTGGTCAAGTTTCTCTCTCTACTGCCTGGTTACCTATATGATTGTTCCTTCGCCTATATTCACCCATTGCAAGTCTCCATCACACATCAGATTAATGGGGATGCCGCATTTTAGACTGTGAACCTCCAACTGGAAGCCAAAATAAACTTTTTTTTCCTTTTCCTTTCCTCTCATATATTTTAGTTAAAAAATGAATAGCTAAACAATACTTGGAATAACAGAAATTATGATTATGTTCCTGTTGGAGACTTTCAAACTTAAGCCAATGGGACTTCCAAACCTTCAATCTCATTCCTAAGGGAACAAGGAGCAAAGGTGTCCAGTGGATTAATGGTATAATAGTGAGAGCAGACACTACTTCTTCCTAACCCTTAGTTCTTAAATCTGGTTATGATTGACTATGCAGTAGGGGTATTTTGTGCTGTAGGATGGATCTCAGCTTCAACAAATTTTGTTTGTTGTCAAACAAAAGTACCCAAACTGAGCTAGAACAGAGTGCTCACTCTTCTATCAGTCAGGATACAAATAGCTAACAGAGAATATGAGAACAGTTAATTGCATTAGTGAGGCCGTTGCTCTTCTTTTTGCCATAAAATATGTCCTATTTGGAAATTTAATGTACATTCCTATGGTAATAGAGAAGTTATTCTGTAAGTTTACACATGGTATGCATGACAAGACTGTAAGCAGCAGAGACAATTGTACTCCCAGAATGTGTGTTTGTCCCTGTGAGTCCACCTGCCATCATGTAGTCAAATGATTCTTCTGAGAGGATACAACACCAACATCTCAAAGATGTACATTAGTCTTAGCAGATAAGGGTGGTGCCAGAGGCTGGCTGACATAAAGAACTTCCATGGGTCAGTCAGTGTCCATCTGCCATGACTGTGCTCTGATGGACATCAAATTTATAACTGTGTTTTTCTCTTATCCTTGTTCAGGTGATCTTTTTTATTTTTTATTTATTTGACAGGTAGAGTTATAGACAGTGAGAGAGAAAGGCAGAGATAAAGTTGGTTCACTCCCCAAATGGCCACTACGGCCGGAGCTGCGCCGATTCGAAGCCAGGAGCCAGGTGCTTCTTCCTGGTCTCCCATGCGGGTGCAGGGCCCAAGCACTTGGGCCATCCTCCACTGCCCTCCCGGGCCACAGAAGAGAAAAGTAGTGGAAGAGGAGCAACCAGGACTAGAACTGGCGCCCATATGGGATGGCAGCGCCACAGGCAGTGAGTGGATTAACTAAGTGAGCCATGTTGCCTGCCCCTGATCTTTTGTTATTATGCATGACTCAAGATGGATTCATGCTTAAAGTCAGGTCTCCTTACACAAAAAGTAGACAAATATTTTCAATATTCTGACCAAGAGGATTTATGTTTATTTTTATCTTTCAATACCATTGTTGAGTCAGATCATAATACAGAACCTGTCCAGTTCCAGCATCTTCATGTACATTATGCCAATTTGCCCAAAAATAAGGCCTACACTTACTTTTTTCTGTCATCTTGGATTATGGTAAGTGGCTCAGCTAACAACCAGTACATGATGACCAGTTTGCATTGCATAGTCAGTTGGTATCCCACAGTCAGGCTGATTTCCACGAGAGTCCAGTTGAGAGCTCTTTTTGAAATAAATAATATTTATCAACAAAAGAGAGAATGATCTTTCTCTAAAACTCATATGTCCTGTGCTGTAATTATTATATGGGGGTTCCCAAGGCTGAAGACACTTACATCACCATTGGCTCTGGGGGGTCACAAGGTAGGAGTGGAAGAAAAGGTTATACCATGGCCTAGTTCTGTTGCAAAGCCCTCAGTTGCTTGGGTTCTAGTTCTGAATAGAACTAGATGGTAGACAGCCTTACAGGTTAGCTGGAAAATAGAAACAAATCATACGTGCAAATGTGGTTTTGTTGTATTCAGAATCAGGAGTCTTTATTTTCTTTTTTTATGTGTAAGTGCAGTTTCAACAATGTTTCTCTCATATTAGAAGAAATACTTCTCTGAGTCCCAGACCACTAGGTCTCTACAAAATTCTCTGATGTTTCAGATTCTTGAATTTTAAAGAAAATGTTCTCCTATACTCTGCAAATATCCAGAGATGGACTAGTTCCCTTGCTAGAGATTGCCTCTGTCACCAAGAAAACATGTGAGAATTTTGAGGTTAAGAATTGTTGGCCATTAAATTTAGCTAAATATAGTAGTAGTCAAGTATAAAATGTGTGATTCATGAGACTGATCCAGAAAACACAAGTAATACTGCCTACCTTTACCAAAATATCCTTATCCTAACTGTTAGAGCCCCCATTGTTCTTCACCAGTATCTTCTTCATTTTAGTTTGAAAGAACACATGGACATGAGCTCCTAATTGAAGTTGCATCTGTCTAACCTTTCCTGTATTTTCTTGGCCCTCAGCCATTTCTTCTCTTGCTACAGAAGACTGGGTTCATGACCATTTGTTCTCCATGTGCATTACTGATCTCACAGTCATGGTTTCAGTTTCTTGTTTTTCCTATGTGCCTCCCTGGGATGTCAGAAGAACCAGGTGCACTGTGTTTGTGTTCATCATTGATTTTGTTTCAACTAAGTGCCATAAACATTTCTTCTCTCAGTGTCCTTCCCCTCTACCTAAATTTTATTCCATGACATTAACATAGGCCATTGGTTATTCACAATTCCACCTTTGCTGTGGATTATGCATACCCCAATTCCTGCCAGGAAACCCGAGTATTACATCCCACATACGAGTGTTATGTGTGTTTGTGTGAGCATGATCATGTGTATGAGAAACCTAATCTCAAAATCTAATCTCAAGAGGCTCGCTTCTGAATATACCTCTGATATTAATTACTGAATCTGCCAGGTTTCTAAAAAGAAAGTGTTGGCACATTCAATAAAATGATTTGATTTATTTACAAAGAGACAAATTTCAAAGGAGAAGGTATAGAGCAATTAGAAAGGAAAAGGCTGTAATCTAAACTAGTATCAGACAAGTTGTTACCACCCTGCAATGACAGAGATTATCTATTGTCTGACAGGAAAGGAGACAACTGTGTAGATGAGACTGCATTGACAGTAGTGACATCACTGCAAGTGCACAGCCCGCCTGAGGTGACAATGCAGGAGGCAGCCAAGGGAATAAGTAACCTGATTTTATTCTCTTCCTTCTACTCTTCTACTCTGACAAAGCACCATAATGATCCCATCTGCTGGAATCCAGCAGGTGTGGGGACCATTTTGATGTAGTTTATAGGAAAGAAATTTTAGATAAGTGGATAATAGATATCCAAGATATTTCTTATCCTATTTCCCTAGAGGTTAAAGTAATTGGAATAATTTAGTAGGTCCTCAACTTGTTTGATGAAGAGAGAATGGAACCATGACTGCAAGCAAATATGAATGAGTGGTGACACATGTTTCTAGGCTGTGTCTTGCTCTTCCATCACTGTTCTCTTCCGTTTGACTACAGCAGTGCTTTCATCGGCTCTGTTCACATTGCTGCCGATCCATGTAATCCCTATTTCACTGCTTCATTCTTTTCTTCCTTTGCATCTGCTTTTTCTGATGTTTAAAGAGTGTATAAAGGCAGAATTCTCAGGGAAGTTCATAAAAGTCGACCGTACTCTCTGGAAGGATACATGCCCAGTGAGGATTTCAAGGACGAATGTCTTTGGGTCGCTGAGCCCACATCTCTACAGTTGATTTCAAGTAATGCTCATTTATTCTAGAGGAGCTTCTGCATTCTCACATCGCCCACTGGTGGTCACCAGATGGAGAGAGGCTTGCCTTCCTGATGATAAATGACTCACTGGTGCCTAACATGGTTATCCCTCGGTTTACTGGCGCATTGTATCCCAAAGGGAAGCAGTATCCATATCCAAAGGTAAGTAACACAGCAGTGCTGGAGTGTTTTCTTTTACTAAGTGGATAGTGCTTTTTATTATAAACAAAATGTCTTTGGAGGAAAAAAGGAAGTTTTCTTTATTTGTGGGCAGACATTTTCCAAGCTTGCAATAATTTATACCCAGTATTTGGGAAGAAAGACATACAGATGATACAAGAACGTCAGAACTTTCCCTTTTGCTACACTTCTTTTCTTCTGATGCTCATTTTGTATTTTCTCACCTTTTCCATTAGAAAAGAATAAAAGGTAGTAAGAGCATTGATGGCAGAGTAAATAATGCCAGCTTATAAGTGGGTAGTGGGTGTTACAAGGGAAGGGAAACCCCATGCTCAAGTAAGATGGAAGTTCCTGGTTAAAATGGAAAAAAAAATTTGCTTCCTTTCAGATGATTTCTTAGATAACTTAATATACCATATGTTAATGTGCATTATAAATCTCTGATAAAAACTGACTAAGCATAAAAATTCTCCAGTAAAGAATAAACTAAGCATGAAGAAACTCAATAAAGAGTAGACAAAGCATAAAGAATCACCAGTAAAGACTAGACTAAGCATAAAGAATTTCTTAGTATTAGTATTGATATCAGCATTATTTTGGCAGAGCATAATGTGGAACATACTTCATGAAATGCTGGTATTGAGTCATAGCCAATGGTAGTCAGGATAGATGAATGTGTTTGTTTGTTTCTTTGCTTGATTTTGTTGTTGTTGTTGAGAATATGGAAATCCTGCTCAGACAGCAAATATTTCAAGTGTTGTGTGAAGTTGCTAGAAGCAGGATACAAAGCATCTGGAGTACACTTGGTTTTCTTTTCTATGCTGTCTGTTATGACTCAAGTTATGTTTCTAGAAATTTATTTTTCCCATGCTATGTAATAAAGAAAAAGGCTCAGAGTGAGGTCCTTATATTTTATTCATGTAAAGATGTCTTAGTGAAAGCCCTAAAATTCTGCTTTACTCACTTCACTCTTAATTAGTTACATAATGCTAATTTTAACTGGAGGCTACTTTTAAGTAATTTCTTTTGTGAGTAGTAGTTTGTTTCTCCAGATATGGTAGGTTTTCTAACTTTGAATTTGTGCATTGTATTACATGGGCAGATTACCATCAAACTCCATACTCTGAGCCTGCAAAAAAGGCTAAAGTGGAGGTTAGGTATGTGCACTTCTCTTGCACTCAAATTATCTAAGGGGCAAGAAATGAAAGACTTACATATGGAAAATCTGAGGTAAGATGAGTAGTTTCCTTAGTGAGCAACTGGGAGGCCTTTCTCCATGCTCTACAATCTTCTTCTGTAGGCTTGGTATTAAATACAAGATGATGAAGAATCTGATTTTGTGAAATTTTTGTAACTTACCAAAAAGATGTTTTGATTCCAGTTGTATCTTCCTCTATGCAATATAATTTTGAAAAGCTACATTTAGAGTCTTTTAAAAAATTGTAGATTAGAAGACACATATACTCAGTGCTCTTCAGTAGAAAATGGCAATTTGACCTAACAAAAAAGTAATCATTCTTGTCAAAATATTTTTATCATTCCTACCAATTGATTTTATTTTTCTCAGTTATAGATTTCACAGTCCTTTTTGTGGATCACCGTTTGTGCTTGGATAGCACATCTTTCTGTCTCAAGTTAAAAACTGAAGAAATCTCAAATATTTTTATCTCAAATTATTTTATTTACATAATTACTTTCATCTGACAATTAAAAAATAGACAACTAGTGATAACTGTGAGAGGCACATCTCACAAGTGTAAAAAAAATAAAATGAGTCCTATGGAATGGACATCTTTGTTTAGTTCGTTTCCCAAGCTGAGTGGGATTTTGGATTTACACAAAAAAGCCAAATGTTTAGCCACATTTTCAAATTACTTTTTCAGAGATGGATTCATGGTTTTTAAATATAAGCACTTCTAGGTCTCAAAATTTTGACAAAATTAACACAAACAACAGAGACATATCAGGAGACATATATTTCAGTAATTCAAAAGAGAGTGGATGGAAATCCAAATACTTTGGTATTATTTAATATTTTGTTATTTAATTAGTTATTTATAATTGTGAATAGTAAATATATGTATTACTTAGTAATGATGTTTACTAATTTCATAAATCATGTGTCCCAGAAATATACACTGTTTTCAGGGACAATTTTCATGAACTTTCTTTCTCATTTGATTTTTGTCACAATTACTTCATTTTACAAATGGGAAAACTGAGAACCTAAAAGGTTAACTGCTTTTATAAAAGTCACAATTATGTCAAGAACAAGGAAATGACTCAAATTGATTGTCTGTATCCCTCTCTATAAAACTACCAGAAATCAACTTGCATTTCAGCATACAGGCAGATGCAACTGGAATCAAAACATCTCTTTGTCAAGCTATCAAATATTTGATGATTTATCAATTTATAAAAATTTCTGTGCTCCTTTTATTCCTAAAGACTGAGCTGTATATTAGTAGTATTTTGAGACTTACACCTGCAACATAAAAATATAACATGATGAAGGTCTGACTGTGTAATAATGGCTTCCCTGAAGAGTGTTAGAAATGAGTCAGATACTGTAGCAGTTAAAGCCAAGAGAAAGAAATCTGAGTCCTTAGATGGAAGTTAGGAGGAACACTTGTCCATGTACTTAAGATGACAGGACTCAAAAGTTTGTCTATGTTTTGGCCCTTGTTCTCATAATACATTTCAATATTATATTGAGTGTGATACTGTCATTTTTAGACTTATCATTGTCTACTTGGATCTAAAATGTGTTTTCTGTTTATTTTTTTCACAATATATTGTTTCTACTGCTCTTACACAATCATTAAAAAAGTGGTGTTTTAAAATTGAAGTAGCACAGAGTTCATCTTAAATTGTGTTTTAGATTAAACTAGATTAAAGTGATTATGGCAAATACCCAATGTGGTAAGACATACTAATGAAGTACTTACACTAAACAAGTATATTTGTATTTTACTTAATTCAGCATGATTCAGAATGCATAAAATACTCTATGTTTAGCAATTCAGCACAATAGAGCCTCACACTGCTATCCCAGTAACCTCAGGTTAATCTTCTTAATTAAAACATTATCTCGTTTAATGACAATTTAGTTGCCAGTAAAATAAGGTTAATTATTATTGAAGCTTTTGTTTCAGAACCATGGAAGTAGGAATTCAGTGGATCTACAATCTTTGTGGCGAATGTGACTGTAAAAAGCAAACACATGAACTCCTCTAGCTTGTGAACTGCTGAAATAATTCAAATATTAAAGAACAAATGAACTTAAGATTCATGCTCAATTTCAGAACTTCTACGGAAAGATAAACATCAGCTGAATTAATAGAATGCTACAGAGCTGAACTCAGAGGAGAGCTGATGCTAAACTGTTCACTTTTTGTTTAAACACTGGCAACATGTGTATACAACTTTTAATTTGTGTTCATATAGAAGTTAGTTGGGATATAGATGAATGTATGCAGGTATGAGCTTACAGTGTGATTGTCAAAGAAAGCTGCCTTAAAAATGTGATAATAACTTTGACAAAGTATGCCACAAATCTGTGCATCATTGGTAAGAGTTCACAGAAAGAGCAAATTTAATTTCCCCTTTGCTTTAATCACTGGATGATTAAGAAAAAAAAGCACAGCCTTTCATTAACTAGAATGGAAGATTGTGTATCTCAATAATAACTACCATTTTAAATTCACCAGCACACACTACTTTAGATGCTTTATTGTAAGTCCTTTTTATATTTCATATGACAAAACTATGAATATTTTTATCTACAGACAGGAAACCTCCTACTCAAAACTTCCTTATGACACAATCACAGAGGGGTGTTTGTCTCATTTTTGATAATCAAATAAATAACATTTCACTAATTTTAGCATCTGCCCAATGTCCATGTTAAGTAAATAATGGACTTGGATTTTTACAACTCTCAGATTCTATAATTGCCCTTTCACTAGCATGGGTGTATCAGCATCAGGGTGAAAGTGAGTTCAAAAATCAGTGGCTTAGCAAGCTCTCCAGGTCCTCTGAATGATTCTGATGTTGGCTCACCTTTGACAGTGAATGCACCGTGTAGACAGATAGATTGATTTTTTTTCAAAATTTGCCTACTCATATGAGAATTTTGTTAGGTCACTGTTTTTTGTAGGCCCACTTCAGAGATTCTGCTTCTGCTTCTGAAAATAGGTCTGGGGAGGAGCCCAGTATTTGTGTTTCTAAGGTTCCAGGCCATACTGATTGACACTTACTGAGTTGCACTGGTAAATACTGTGTGCAACTCTAAATTTTAGCACAGTTGATCCAAATGTCCAAACTAAAAATCAAATGGATAGAGCTGGTGCTTTTAGGGACAACCAGAACAACTCAATTAAAACAAAAAATAATGTGAAACGGAGCTCCTAAGAATGAAAGAAGTCTGAATTACCCATGGCAAATGCGCCCAGTCCCTGGTGGGTTTAGGAACAAAATTAAAAGCTTTACAAAATCTGAGACTAAATCCTTTGGTGTGAAGCAGGGTCATAGCTTATCTCCCAGGAATCCCTTCCCTGTGTGAACCATGCCCGTGTTCTCTCTTAATAGTTACCACATTTTTGTAATGAAACCCCATCCTAACTCCTTGTTTTTTCGCACAAATCTTCTGAACTGTGTGTGGCTCACACAGAAGCGATAGTCTCTTATGATAATCCAAGGCAGCAGCCCTTGAAGAGCTCTTTCAGACGTTAGTGGAATGGATTATTTTGCATCTGGGCTTGATTTAACTCTGGGTTTTGTCAGTGCCAATTCTTTGCACAAAAATCTTCATCATCTGTAAATCAACCTCATCATTTTATTTAGATTTTTGTCAGACCTCTTTAATGTTTAATTCACCTCAGAGAGTCCTCTCTCAAAGCATTGGTCATAACATAAAGATAATGCTGAGTTGCTTAGAAACACATTAAACCATGATCAATAGATCCTGGGCATCATTTAATCATGGGGACATTCATTCATTCACACTAATTGAGAGATATTGGTGAAAGTTCCCATTCCTGTATAATTTGGAGGTCTCATTGCCTGAGTATGTTGGGAAAACACAACCGCAGCATTGCAGTTCAGAGAATCCTAAATTTACACAGTATCTCAGTAGCTCTCTGGGTTATCAGCTATTTCACCTGGCACAGTTTGCTTAGCTTCTCCATGTCATCTAGAAAATGATTATAATTATATCTAAGGACTGTAGCAGAGAATTTTAATGACATAATTCATGCAATACTGTTAGTATATACTATATGCCAGAAGTATTTCAACCGCTATACATGCTGGTTGTTATTGATTTAATGCATGTTGATTCACTGAACTCAAATTATGTGTCTTTACCATTGCCGTTCTGCACTGCATGCCAGGTACTCAGTGAGGGTAGTTTGCCCACCTCCCAGTAGGCAATTGTACAAATGATTCCATTTAGTAATCAATAAAGTTTAAAAGAGAAACCAAGGAGATTAATGCAGTCGAATAAATTAGGATTTCTGGGATTTTAAACACGGGGTACCTGGTTTGAATAAGCTTTCTTGCTTGCTTTCTTGCTTCTTTCCTTTCCCTATTTCCCTCCTTCACTCCCTTCCTTTCCTTCCTTCCTTTCTTCCTCCCTTGTTTCTTGTCTGTTTTTCTTCTTTTTTTTTTCTTAGATTAGCCAAATCTCCACATTGCAATTCACATCCTACAATATGAGTAGCTACTTATCTATTAGCTACTTTGTACAACCATTCAGGTGTCATTCTGGAGAAAGAACACAGTAACACTGCCTAATGAATGAACTCATCATGATTTCCTGTCACCTGTAATTGTCTGACAAAAATGCTTGAGAAACAGCAATCTGCAAAAACAATTGAAAGCCATCAAGTTGTAGAATTTAAAATCGTTTTTACTTTAGAGAAATTATTCTTTTTTTCTCTGTAATACAAAAAAGTAAATGAATCAAAAATGTATTTTCTTTGTTTTTTTTTTTTTCAATATATTCTAATGTTTACTATGCTTGCATTCCAACTTTCATTTTTTCCAAGGCAGGTCAAGTGAACCCAACAATAAAATTATATGTTGTAAACTTATATGGACCAACTCACACTTTGGAACTCATGCCACCTGACAGTTTTAAATCAAGGTATGCAACTCCAATTTCACTTTTATGTGGAAATAGATATTTTCTATCCAATTATCTTTTGCTGCAATTTGGAGAGAGATGTGATCATCTCAACAAATCTACTTGGAAATAAAGCTGCGGTTTCCTGCATTAGTGAGGAATGAAATCGTTGTAGGGGGTCTGGCTGTTCCCAAGAGGAATTTATGTTCAAAGTGATTAGCAGCACCACAAAATCACTAAAAGATACTGATGCTAAGAATTCTGCCTTTGGTTGGAGATTCCACAGAAACATGGAGACAAAGGATAATTTTTCATTCAATTTTCTTCTAAAAAATAATTGTTCTATTTGTTTAAATATTGCTCTTTGAAAGAGTATAAATTCCCTGAAAGTTGTGTGGTTATTCTAATTTTCTTCCCATAACTTGCCAAGGATTCTGTAGTAGTATTATCTAGATGGATAAATGTGATGATATTCTGTTTCAAATTACAATAAATAAGAAGTCTTTCTAATTAAGATACTTGCGCAGGGAGCAAAGAAACATATTTCCTGTGTCAAAGCAGAAACTTCTGTAAAAAACAACTAACAAAATAACCACATGCACTTTGAAATCCAGAGTAGTCTCAAACTTCAACAGTGATTCTTCAAAATTCTCCAGCCATTTGGAAAGGTACCTAGTTCTCAGTGGTGCAGTTGGTAGTGGAGGGATTTGTTCGCTAGCCAACAAGGCACCAAGATGTTACAACTGCTAGTAAACCTTGAGAACCTATTCTACCTGCAAAAAAGTATGAGGCAGATGAATAAACCAAGAAGGTAATTGTTAGCAAAAGGTTTATTGAAAAGAGCAGAGGGTTTGAAAGAACAGAGTGAAAGCTCCTGGGAGCCACAAGGGGCTTCTTAAGAGGGAAAAAGCCATTGAAAGGAAGCAATCTAGGGGTTTTATAAACTGCTGGAAAGTTTGTACAAGGTCCTTTAAGAAAAATGTTTCATGTGTGGTGAGCTCATTCTGCCATCTCTCCTATTTGGTTGTGACTTTTACAGGACAGAGCAGAATTTCTATCTTGGAGCTTTTTGGCAGGGAGGTTTGGAGGGAGGGGAGCTAATTTGTCATCACCGTTATGAGACTGGTCACAGACAACTGCAGCCACCTGGCTTTCTGCATGGCCTTGGCCTTGGCAGCAGAGCCTGTTTTTCTCCTGACTAATCAAAGAAAGTCTTTGTCTCTTTTATTATCATGCTTGCTTTCTAGCTCGGGCTGGTTTCCCAGCCAAGCTAAGAAAATGTTCCACGTTACTAGAGGAGCCCCTTTGTTCCCTCCCCTCTTTATCATTCCCACTCTTATTCCATTCATCCACACAGGCGAGGTAGATCATTTAGGAAAATGGTTTTACACTCTGTTGGATGATGGGGGCTAAGTTCAAAGTCTGTTTTGATAATGTCTATAATCAGTGCAAGGTGACTGGTTCTGCAGAACTTCCACTCAAATGTTGACATATGTAACGTAACGACTTTTCATCTCAGTGGGGGAACTTTCGCAGAAAGTACAGCCTGATGTGTGTGGGAACTTTCTCTTCTTAAAAAGGTATAAAATGCATACACTTCACAAAATGTCTCAAGTGCATACACTAGAACTCCTTCACCTACTAACAATCTTTTCTTTCTTTTTTTAACTGTCAGCTGTCTTGGAAAAAAGAAAAAAGGAAAAGGATCTAATACATGATTCCCTTATTAATTGTCACTGTACAGATAAACTGAAGGTATATAAAAATGTACATGCTTATGGGAAAAATGAAGCCCAGAGAGAATAAATAGTTGAGATAGAAACTCAGGACTAGCTGCTGCCAAAGCAGAACTCAGAGTAAGGACTCTCTCATATGTTACAGAACATTCCATCCAAGCTGTGATGGAAAACCTGGACAGTCCATCTGAATGACCATGCTGATCAAATCAAACAGGAACTTCTATCCCTGAGTTCCAATTACACCAGCTATGATGATTTTGCCACAAATGGAGCATCTACTTAAATAATTGACATGTTCAGGACCCCTTAACTCTAGCTTTCCCTCTTAATTGCTTAACCCTGAATAACAGCAATGGCACTACACTAGAAGAATCTCAATCACACGTCTACTAGTATTTCATTGTGTCATCATGAACAAGTCATTTTATCTCTCTCAGGGATGAATATCATAGTTTGGAAATAGCTTCTAATTTTCATCCTTTTTTAAATATAATAAGGATAAATTTTACAATATCCATATTTCTTTCTGATAGGAACTAGTGTTCCCTTTGATTTTGTTACTATTTATACAAAATATATTTATGTAAGTAGACTTATTAGCAGTGCAATTTACCCACATTGTATTAAATCAAATGTCTTATTTTGGTATTTGAGTTGTGTTCATAGTGTTATGAAAGCCTCAGTCCTTGTCCTTGTTGTGGAATCAATAAGGATGAGGTTTGAGGGTAAATGAAAGAGATAGTTAAATGCACTAACAGATGCCCACAATGGCAGGTTACCCATCTCAAGCACTACTGTCCCATTCAGAGAGGATTATTAGTGAAGCTGCAATGAAGAGGGGCTGCTTTCACATGCAGTGTGGGAGGAGCACCACACCTTCAGGGTAGCTCTGATAAAGGCCAGAATTGGTCAGGCATCAAACTTGCCAAGACCGTGCTTGTCAGTCCTTGAGAAGGTCTGTAGGTGGAGCGATTAACCCTGTGATTGTTACTTCACTCTTGACTGCAAAATAGTCCTGATATTTATTAAAGCATTCCTACGTATGAGCAACACCTGAGGCTTGAAGCTTAACGTAAGCTGGTGCTTGGTCACAGTGGCTTCAAAGACAACATTTGTCTAGAATTAGTGAGGTAAAGCTGTGCACTGTATGAATCTGCCACCTTATATTTGATTATGGCAAAAACCAACTCATCGTTTTTAGGTTGCCTTGTATACTGGCATTGCTACCTCTATCATTTGAGATACAAAATACCCAAATGATTAATTTACTTTTAGCAACTTGCCTATTTATTTTTTTAGTATGTTATTTAAGCATCTACATTTTTATATACTTTCAGTTTATCTGTATGACAATTAATAAGGGACTCATGTATTAGCTCCTTTTCCCTTTTTTCCAAGACAGCTGACTCTCAAATATAACAATCTTGGAAGTTTCCTCACTCTAATAAAATCACCACAGAAACAGGAATGACAATTGAATATAAAGACTTCAAAAAGTTCATGGAAAATAGAATTAAAGGATAAGTTTACTTTGGTGTAACATTTTTTAAAACCCATTCATAGATTTTTTATAATGCATATTTCCTATGAACTTTTTGAAGATTTCTTGCCTAAATAAAAAGTAATATTAATAAGTGTTGGAAAATGTTCTTTTATGAATTGGACTACATTATTGGTTTTATTCTCTAAACTCTAATCCAGAGATTAGATGTATTTGGGTTTGAGGGTTTGAAGATCATTGACCATTTATTTTATTATGTTTGATAGTTTATTTGGATGATTGGCTTATTTATATGTAACCACTAGTATTTGTAATTATTGTAGTGAGGAGCCCCCAAGGTAGTATCATCTGATGATATGTCCTTTAACCAGGGACATAGATTCTAATGAAAGACTGAAAAACCTAAAGTTCAATTTATTTATATTTTTTAAAAGAAATTAAAAGGGTGAGATAACTTGGATAAAAGCATAAATCTTATCTTCTATGATCCCTTCATCTAATTTATATATGCTCATTCAGCTAAGGACACTTTGTCAAACAAATGTAGACTATGAATATCAATTTTCCCTAATGGTAGTTCAGTCCTGACTCATATCATTACCATGCAGTTCTTGTGTATTTGAATCATGGTCTGTGTTGATCCTGAAAAAAAAAAAATAATGTTGCCTGGTAGGGACTAAGATAACCCCTGTCTTTAATCACTCCAGCAGGAGTGATAAAGTCATCTCAACTTGAAAGTAAGAGACATTTTGCAAATTGTTGGACTGTGAGTTTGAGGTATTGCTAGCACTCAGCAGCTTTATTAAAAATATTAGGTGTGAATTTACAAATGTGTGGTTAGGGACTGGCATTTGGCACAGTGGGTTAAGCCTCTGCTTGTGATACCTGCATCTTCATAATAGAGTACCAGCTCAAGTCTCAGCTGTGCTGCTTCCAATCCAGCTTCATCCTAATACATCTGGGGTGGTAGTTAATGATGAAATAGTTCTTGCACCCTTTCCACCCATGTGGGAGGCCCAGATGAAATTCCTTGCTCCTTGATTTATTTATTTATTTGACAGGTAGAGTTACAGACAGTGAGAGAGAGAGAAACAAGAGAGAAAGGTCTTCCGTCCGTTGGTTCACTCCCCAAATGGCCACTACAGCCAGCACTGTGCCGATCCGAAGCCAGGGGCCAGGTGCTTCTTCCTGGTCTCTCCATGTGGGTGCAGGTGCCCAAGCACTTGGGCCATCTTCTACTGCTTTCCCAGGCCACAGCAGAGAGCTGAACTGGAAGAGGTGCAACTGGGACTAGAACCGGCATCCATATGGGATGCCGGTGCCTCAGGCGGAGGATTAACCTAGTGCACCACGGCACCAGCCTCCTGGCTCCTGGATTTCACCTGGTTCAGCCCTGGCTATTTCAACATATAAGGAGTGAATCAGTAGATGAAAAATCTCTCTTTTTCTTTCTCCCTCCTTGCTTTTGTGTCACTCTGTCTTTTAAGTAAATAGGTCTTTAAAAAATAAAGAATACATAAATTCTTGTTAAAAATTTTTTATGATAATTAATCACATATATTTCCATAGACTAGATGTCACATTGTTTTGGAAAAGTGATATATTTTTGTTTGTTTATAGACCTTTACAGTCTTTACATTTAAAATAATCTCTTTGATTTATCCTTACATTGCATCTTTAACATTATTTATTAGAATTTTTTCTCTGCTCACGCACCTTTTGTGACCCAATGTTAGCAGCCTGCGATATTGACATGTCACTGTCACAGTTTCCCCTGTGTCTGGGCTTGATGCTAACACGCTTTCTATTCCATTGATGTATATCTAGATTACACATGGGGATATCTGTCTGTGTACATGGAAAGTGTCATAATGAACCCTGTTGCAAATTATGCATAATTATTAACAGAGGTCGTTGTCAGATACTATTTTGAGTTGTTCATGACTGCTATCACCTTACATTCATGGGCAAATATCACTGAATATTCTCAAAGAAAATGAACTCAGAATAACTATACATGCACAAAAATTGTTATGATTACAGAGCCATCATTGGACAGGAAGCCAATAAAAACACAGATATGACAGCTAACATACTTGTCTGCAGGTGAGGCTGGGGCCTCCATTCACCTATCCCTGTGGACAATTAGATCTCTGTGCCAGACCACCCAGCTGATAAAAAGCCTCTGTGGACTTGAGTGCAATCCCTCTAACCCACTTGTTTCTGTCTCTATGGCTCAAGAGGACCAGATCCTCGAGGACTTCCTGGGTCATCCAGAGCCATGGAGACTAGGAACAAGCAGGAAAGCCAATTATCACAAAGGCTTCTGCTGGCCACTGGTCACCAGATCTAATGTGTTCATGAGATGGAATTCTGCTGGGAGGACAGCCACATCTCAGCAGGCAGTCCAAGCAGTGTTACAATGCCAGGTAAGGGCACCACTGAACCTACTTCCTCATTCAGAGAAAACCTGTATACTCATGTCCAAAGAGAATGTTGACACATATTCATGCAAATCATAAGGAAAACTGCACCTGGGATCATGGGACAAGGAAAGAAAGGGCACAGGAAGTGATTTTTTAGTGAATTTATTTTGTCTTATATACATGTCAGACTGTACTTTAACTTTTATTTTGAATATTTCTAACATATTAACACAGAAATTGTAATAGTTTAGAATTGCCCCGTGTAAAACTTCATACATTTAATTTTGGGGAGATTACTTTCTCTTCAGATTGTGATTACCATTGCAAGGTAATCTTCAGATATGAGTAATAAGTATACGAAGGTATTTCACATCAGATTAAGGTTTTGCTTGTGAACATGGTGCCTTTTTATCGCATTTTTAACATATGGTACAAATAGTCACATTATTTAATTAAAGAGAAAAAGAGAAATATAGTTTATAGCTAAAAATAATTATTTTAAAAATGTTGGCTGGCGCCGCAGCTCACTGGGCTAATCCTCCACCTGTGGCACCCGCACCCCGGGGTTCTAGTGAACCAACGGAAGGAAGATCTTTCTCTCTGTCTCTTTCTAACTCTGCCTGTCAAAAAAAAAATAAAAATAAATAAATAAATACATAAAAACATCTCCAAATACCTGCAATAGTTGGGACCTGGCCAGTTTGAAATCAGAAGTTTGCAACCCAATCCAGGTCTCCATATGGGTGGCAGGAATCCAAACACTCAAGCTAAAACCTCCCAGGTTTTGCATTAGCAGGTACCTGGAATCACAATTGGAGCCAGAATTTGTATTTCAAAAAGGCATTTCAAAAGGGTATGAGGGCATCCAAAGTAACATTTTTTAACAGCTATGTCAAATATCTACCCTTAATGAGATCCTTATAAGATAACAATTTTATAGCTAAGTTCATGTCCCCTTAAAAATTAGTTATTCCTCATATTTGCACTAGTTGTCTTTTAATTGTTTTCCAAATAGCACAACCATTCTCATGTCAAGAACTGACTTTGTAGTTAATACAGATAATAATGTGTCAGTATCTGTTAAGGCATAGCAGAATGCTGTTGAAAGCTTTCACTGGGGAGATACTTTGAAAGGGAGGACATTCAAGATTGAATATCTGAATTCTGTTTTAATCTGGTACATTTTTTAAAATTATTCATGTTTGTCAACTCAGTTTGCATAAAATATATGTATTAACTCTGTCCTACTGAGATAATTTTCTGACTATATTTGAAAATCAACTATATACCAGTTTTATCATCCTTTTTCCAAAATATGTCCTTTCTCCTTTTGCAGTCTTTAGTTGTTTACAATCAAATTATTTTTTCTTCCATTTTGAAAGATATTTCTGTCAATTATTCAGAAATGTTCATATGTATTTTCAGTTTTTGGCATTTCTTTTATTAATTACTTATAGTACCTACTACCTCATTATTACAAACTAAATTCTCTGAATAAATCTATGAAAGAGTTAATACTATTTTCTGCTTTTAATATTCACAGTGTCTAATATGCTAATATATGCAAAATAAATCAGTTTAAATAAAATGCAGTGGAAATGAACAGGACATTGTTCTGTGCAAGATCACAAGGCCATTTGATTTGACCAAAAAGTATGCCTTAACTGGCTGCATATTTGATTTTAAGTTTCCTTGTTAGCTCTACTTAAGGGCACTTAGGTGATGATCTCATTGGATTTCTAGGCACTTTTCAAGCGGGGCTTAGCTGATTGTGAAAGCTGCCACATGTCTTGAGGAGCTTGTGAAGAAAATATGGCAGGTTTCATTATCTGACAAGCTGAACTTGCCCTTCTCCTGACATCTTCACTTTGACGGAATAACAGGTTTCTAAAGGAAGTAGGAGCTATGTATTATTGTTAGAAAAGTGAGAGTCAAGTAACTGGACCTCTAACACAGACGTGTTGAAGGACAGGTGATTTGTATCACAAGGTTATTCTTCCATAGTGAAATTTTCTGTCACATAGAACCTGAGTTGATTAGTTTCAATATAATACTCGTGGATGCCACATTTCAAACTGTTTCTAAACTCATTTATTCTGAATCTGGGCAAGTTTGTAGAAAAGTATGTTTGTTTTTGCCATAAAATGAACCATTATGATTATATTTTGTTGCATAGAGGTTCAGAGTTTTGTGATATTTATGTAAATCTCCAAAATATAGGATCTTTTTGTCATAAAAGAAAATACGTACACTTTTTCTCAACCCCCAGTAACCCTGAGGACATCATAGGCCCCACTATCTTGTGATAATAAAATCTAATAGCCCCACATCTGCTACAGTTTGACACCTTGTTTTGACCTGCTTCAAATAAATGACTAACAATATTATAAAACATGTATATGAATAAAAGATTAAAAATGATCATTGTTCCACAACTGACAAAGATCAAGTTAAATCAGTCATACATCTGTAGCAAAAGTCCTCATGTGTGAATTAAAGTATCATGACATTAGTGCCTAAGGTATAACTTTCAGTGAAGAGCAGGCTTTCCTTTGAATTGACTACTGATTGTGTTGTTGGAGAAATAAAATAAATATAGTTTTAAGATGTATATCAGTTTTGCATATATATTGGTACTAATTTTAAATTTTTCTTAAATGTTTAGCATCTGATTATTTTTAGTTTTTGAAGAATAATTTTCTGGGAAATAATTAACTCAAATTTATTTTAAAGTTGTATGTATATTTGTATATATATATATGTGCATGCATAGAAATATATGTATATATATTTTCATTTATATACAGACTATATAAGTGAAAAGATATCACATTCATAAAAATAAATGAATATGATACAGAATTCTTACAGTGTTTTGGCTATTTTGCATAAAAATGGCAAGATTATGTTAATTGTTCGATACAGATTCTCTGGTGCTGAACAAGAATTTCTTTTTTGTTTCCCTACTAGAGAATACTATGTCACTATGGTTAAATGGGTAAGCAATACCAAGGCAGTGGTAAGATGGTTAAATCGACCTCAGAACATCTCCATTCTCACCGTCTGTGAGACCACTACTGGTGCTTGCAGTAGAGTGAGTATCATTTAATATTACTTTATGCTTGAAATTGAGTTTTTTCTCATCTCTGAAAAGAGAAATCAGAAAATCCTTTGTCAAATGCTTCAATATTTAATTTCCAAAGGTACCGAGGAAATAAAAGGATTATCCTATTAAGAGTGTGTATTTTACTCTGTAAGTCTTCTAAACGTTGAAATGAGTAGTATGAATGATAAACAGAGAACAAAGTGAGGTGTAAAAGAATACATGGATTCTTATACAGCATAAATAGTAGTCAAGTCACTTTAGTTTTATTCCTAGAAGTGAGATTTCTGTCCATGTTTTGTCTCTATCTTGAGAATATAAATGTCTTTCCTATAAGTGTTTGTAAGCACATCTTTAGCCCCCAGATTTGTCTTATAAAATAATGATCTCTGTCCTTAAATTAAGTGAATACATTAAAAAACTGGTTCTTGAACCACCCCTTTTTGAAAGTATCTTATATGTTAATTTCTAAAAGCAGGTTTTGTAAACTGTAGTAAATTCGGTATATGCCATATTTTAAGGTTCCTGGTAGTACAATCAGTATAAATTGTTATGTACTTGGTACTTGAAATGAATTTTAAAATTTCTGGTCTGGAAAAGATGAAGTATTTGCTAACAGACTTTTCTTTCTTTTATAAAAGAACTATAACACTGAAATATGCATATATATATATGTGTGTGTGTGTGTATATATATATACACACATATATATATATATATTTCTCTGAAACTCTGAAATAATTATAGAGAGAGACAGAGAGATCTTCCATGTGATGGTCAACTTCCCAGATTACCACAATGGCAGAACTGAGTGAGGAGCTTCATCTGGGTCTCCCATGTGAGTGGCAGGGCCCAAAGATTTGGGAAAGTAGTGGAAGATGGCACAAATGCTTGGGGCCCTGCCATCCATGTGGGATACCTGGATGAATCTCCTGGGTCCTGGCTTTGCACTGACCGAGCCCTGGTCATTTAACCCATTTAGGTAGTGGATCAGTGTTTGAAGATCTCTGTCTCTTTGTCTGTGTAGCTCTTTCAAATAAATAGTATTTTTTTTAAAAGGAAAAGTTAACAAGTTTTTTTTTAAAAACTACACATTAGAAATTTTAATTGAGAAATATAAACTTTAAAAATAGAAAATGGAATTTCAAGAACTGAAAAATACAGTGTCTGAAATGAGAAAATGACAAGTGTTTAATAACAGGTTAGACACTGTTGCAAGAAGGGACATTGAAACAATCAAAATTGAAACCCTGGGCCAGCAGAGTGGTGTAGTGGATACAGGTGCTGTATTTGATGCCCATGTCCCATATCAGAGGGCTAATAGGCATCTCAGCTGCTCTGCATCTGATCCAGCTTCCTGCTAACGCACCTGGGACCCTGTCATCCACATAGGAAACCCGGATGGAGTTCCTGACTCGTGGCTTCAGCCTGGCCCGCAAGTGGTTATTGTGGCTATCTGGGAAGTGCACTAGTGTATGGAAGATCTCTCTCCATTTTTCCCTCTCTGTCTGGTGTTTGGCCTTATAAATGAATGAATGAATGAATGAATAAAGGAATAAATAAACAAAAAATATCCCTGATAGAAAAGAAGCTAACGAATGAATAAAGCATCAGTAGACAACACGGCACTAAGAATTATTACATATATGAAGTTCTATACATAGAAGATAGGGTTTACGATATCAGGGCAGAAAATATAAAAGAAATAATTACATAAAATTTCACAGATCAAATGAAAACATATTTATCCATGTTTCCAAGAAGTTAACAAGTCCTCAACAGGATAAAGACAAAGAAACAATACCTAGATACTTCATACTTAAATTACTGTAAATAAAGGTTAAGACATTTGAAAGCATCCTGAAAGAAAAACATATTATATACAGGAGATATAATAATGGAAATTGTTGGGGTAAGCACTGTGGAGTAGCGGGTAAAGCTATCACCAGCAGTGCCGGCAAACCATATGGGCACCGGTTCGAGTCCCGGATGCTCCACTTCTGATCCAGCTCTCTGCTATGGCCTGAGAAAGCAGTAGAAGATGGCCCAATGCCTTGGGCCCATGCACCATGTAGGAGATGAGGAAGAAGCTCCTGGCTCCTGGCTTCAGATCAGCACATCTCCGGCCATTGCAGCCAACTGGGTAATGAACCAGCGGATTGAAGACCTCTCTCTCTCTACCTCTGCCTCTCGGTAACTCTGACTTTAAAGTAAACAAATAAAATCTTTAAAAAAATATAATGAAAATTGTTGCCTAGGTCTCATATGAAATGGTAAGAAGGCAAAGGAATGAGTTTTTAATGAATAAAAAGAAAACAATGTTAAATAGGAAGCCTATCTCCTTTGAAAATATCTTTCAAAAATGAAAATTAAAACATTTTCAGATAAATAAGAACTGAGATAATTCATCATAAGTAGAATGACACTAAAAGTAATAGAAAATGAAGTTTTTTAGGCTAAGGAGGTTGCACCAGATGAAAACTCAGATCTAAATGAGAAAATTGCAGGTATCACCAATGGTAAACTTGTCTTTTTTAGTTTTCATTTTTCTAAAATATGACTGATTACTTCAGCAAATTAAGAATTAATGTTAGATATATTTCCAGAGTTCAATAGAGCCATTTCATAATGATACTGTGTCAACTGATTAGAAATATCTTACAGCTTGAAATACTTATGTACCTAATAACAAAGATTTAAAACACTTAAGCAAGTCATTAGCAAACACTAATAAAACCAAAGAAGAAACAGAACAATTATACTTGAAGATTCTAATAGTCCCTGATACATATAGAATCATTAGTCAAAAATTGACAATATGGAAGCTTGGACAACACTATTAACAACTTAGCCAACTAATATTTAGAAAATACTTTATCCAACAACTTCAAAATTGAAAAGCTTCTTAAGTACTGAAGGAATATTGATAAGCCTCAAACTTTAAAGAACTAATAACTTCAGATTATATATATATATTTAAATATATATATATTTAAAAATTTATTTATTATTTGCAAGTCCGAGAGAGAGGGAGAGACAGAAAGAAAAATTCACTCCAGTAATGACCACAATAATCAGGGTTGGGCCAGGCCGAAGCCAGGAGCAGACCTCTGTAGGTCTCCCACAAGGATGCAAGGGGCCCCCAAGCACTTGGGCCATTATTCGCTGCTTTCCCAGGTGCATTAGTATGAACTGAGTCAGAAGCAGAGCAGCCAAGACTCCAACAGGCACCCCAATACAGGATGCTCGTATTGAAAGTCGAGGCTTACCACAGAGTACATTTTTGACGACAAGGAGATTCAGTTGAAATAACTACTACTCATACTATTATATTTATATGTGGAATCTAAAAACTAGAATATTTTGAAGTACAAATGAGAAAGGTGGTTACCAAAAGTTGGGGTTGGGTGAGGGAATGTTTGTCAATTTGATTGAAAGAATAAATATTTGAGTACTATTACATGAAAGAGTGTCTATTGTTAATAATAATTTAAAATACATTTCAAAACATTTTCAGCATTTGAAACACAATTTATAAGCAGATATAAGGAATGGATGTATTTTCATTAGCATGATTTACACTCCATATTGGTGCGTATATCAGAACATCTCTCAATACCTTATAAATATTAATATTCAATTAACAAAGATAATTATAAGATGAAGGTACCAATTCAATAAAAGTTAGAAATATAAATGTAAATTTCACTCAAAGCAATTAGAAGAAATTAAAAGAAAAAAATAAGAACACAAATTAGTAAAAGTGAAAACAAACTCAAAAGAAGCCCAATGTGAGAAAAAAATTGTTTCTTAAAAGATGATAAAATTGGTAAATCCTTACTTGTACTAATAAAGAAAAAACACATTACCAATGTGCAAAATGACATCTCTATGAAGTTTACAGATCTTTTAAAAATTTTGGTACTAATAGCCAAAATAGCCTCAAATAAATGACATGACCCCTTCTTTGAAAGGAACAAGCAACAAAATGGATGTTTGAAAAGGAAGTACATTTGAATAGCTTTTTGTAAACTGAAGAAATGTAATGTATAATTAGAACCCTTCCCATGAAAATTCCACTGATAGATTCAGTAATTAATTCTATCAAATATTTGTGAATAAATGCCATAATTTCTAGTTCATTTTGTGGTAGTATTTCAGAATACTACAGACTGTGCTATTTGTAATGATGAGAAATGTATTGGCTCATAGTTCTGAAGGCTGGAAAGTTTAAGATCAAAAGTCCTCTTACGGCATAGTCTCATGAAAGATGGGCAAAGAGAGGGTGCAAGAGAGGCAAAAGCTCATCCTATAATGAGGAACCCATTCCAGCAGAACATACCCACTCCCACAATAAGAGCATTAGCCAATTCATTAGAACCTCTCATTCATGGCCTCATCAGCTCTTGAGCCCCACCTCTTAATATTGTTACATTGGCTGCTTAATGTCAATGTAAGTTTGGAAGGAAACAAACTCTAACATTCATATAGGAATAAACAGATACTAAAGGATAGAAAGTGGAGAAGGAAGGCCACTGGTCAATTCATTTGATAAGAATAGGATACTACCAATACAAAAATTAGACAGTGACATTGCAAGAGGGAACATTTTGTACTAATAATGTTCATAACCTCACATACAAGAATATCCTTAAACATATTAATACCGAAATCTAGGACTAGCGATAGAGGATATCATGACCAAATGGGGTTTATCCCAGGAATTGAAGATTGATTTAATAATGAAAACCAGTTGATACAGTCCTTTATATTAAGAGAAAAAAAAAATGCAGCCAGTGTTGTGGCATAGTGGGTAAAGTTGCCACCTGCAGTACTGGCATCCCATATGGGTGCCAGTTCGACTCACGGCTGCTCCATTTCCCATCCAGCAATTTGCTGTGGCATGGGAAAGCAGTAGAAGATGGCCCAAGTCTTTGGGCCTCTGCTTCTGCATGGGGACCAAGAGGAAGCTCCTGGCTCCTGGCTTTAGATCAGCACAGCTTCAGCCATTGCGGCCATATGGGGAGTGAAACAGTGGCTGGAAGACCTCTCTCTCTCTGCCTCTGCCTCTCTGTAGCTCTGCTTTTCAAACAAATAAAAGAATCCATAAAAAAAGAAGTCATCTCTATAGATGAAGAAAAGCAAATGATAAAATTCAATGTCCATGTAACTTTCAACATAATGAAAAGACACATTCTCTATATACGGGAGCCCAGGAAATAACGTCCACACTCAACAATGAAGCACTGAATTTTCACTGAAAGATCACTGTAAGGAAGTATATCCATTCTCACCACTGTCCTGCAAACTATACTATAAGCCCTAATCAGGTTAATTTAACAAGAAAGAAACAACATAGCATTGGGAAAAGAAGGAATAAACCTGTTTTATTTGTGAATGACAGTTGCCTATATAAAATGTAAAAATTATTTTAAAAACCTAGACTACAAGATTACAACTTGTAAAGTCAGTGTACCAATATAAATGCATGTTCAATATCTTGATTTGATAATTTTATTATGATTATACAGCAGACTTCAGAAATGTTCACTGAAGTATCTAAGGGTTAAGAGTGCAATGCCTCCAATGTGTTGTGAAGTTGTTTTTCTTGCAAAGGAAACAAAAATCTGGTTCTTATTTCTCTTTGAATGATTTTGAAAAAGTGTGCTTCTATTTTTTTTTTTTTTTTTGGACAGGCAGAGTGGACAGTGAGAGAGAGAGACAGAGAGAAAGGTCTTCCTTTGCCATTGGTTCACCCCCCAATGGCTGTTGTGGCCGGCGCGCTGCGGCCGGCGCACTGTGCTGATCTGATGGCAGGAGCCAGGTGCTTCTCCTGGTCTCCCATGGGGTGCAGGGCCCAAGCACTTGGGCCATCCTCCACTGCACTCCCTGGCCACAGCAGAGAGCTAGCCTGGAAGAGGGACAACCGGGACAGAATCCGGCACCCCGACCGGGACTAGAACCAGGTGTGCCGGCGCCGCAAGGCGGAGGATTAGCCTAGTGAGCCGCGGCGCCAGCCGAGACTTTAATTTAAAGGCCTAATATTGTTAAGATGCTAATTCTACATAAGTTGAGCTATAATTTCAATATAATTCCAATTAATATCTCATGGAACTCTTTGTAGGAACAGACTAGATAGTTTCACATTTACAGAAAAATTCAGAAGACCTAGGTATGTCAAACCAACTTATGAGAGAGCAAAGTTGGACAAATTAGCACTGTCTAGTCTCAGTAACAACTAGAACATCATAGAAACCTAGACATAGTAGAAGACACTTAAGGACACAAAAATACATCAACTGAATTGAGCAGTTTCCAAAACATATCCATATTAATCTGATAAATTGGTTTATAAAATAAATCAGTGGGGATAAATTGTGATGGAAAAAAATGGCATTCAAATGTAAAAATGATGTTTGGCACATATTTCATTTAATATTCTAAGTCAATCTAAGATAAAGTATAATCCTAAATCTAAAAGATATTACTGTCAATCTTCTAAAAAATGGGATATAAATACACTATATTGAATAGGTGAAATTTACTAATTATAAAAAACACACACAGGGCATCATCAGTATTAGAAATATCCCTTTGATGGCCATATTAAAGAAATGAATAAGCAAGCACAAACTGGAGAAAAATATATTGCAAAATGTGTATCTGACAAAAAATATAAATAAAAAGGAATCCTGCATCTCAATAATTAAAAGACCACCCATAAATACCATTAAAACATGTGAAAAGTCAATTATGAGGAAGATATTCAATACATGAAAACTATTCAACATTATTAGACCTTTCAAAAAGCCTTATGTAAGCAGCTAAAATTTGGAGACTTTTCCAATATCTTATTAAAAGGAATGTATGTAAAAAAGAGCATAACTACACATTGACATTCTACTCAACAATTTAACAAGAAAAAGATACAGAATACTGATACATTCAACAATATGAGTGAATCTCAAAAACATTTGGTGTGGAAGAATCCTCACACTAAAGAATGCATAATATGTACATAATAAATTATTTGTTTTCTGAATTTCTAAAATCTGCAAATCTAGTCTATAAGGAAAATCAGTGGAGTAGTTGTCTTTCTGGAACTTCTGAGAATTAGCATATGGGACTGTTTTGAGGAGATAGAAAGGTCCTATGTCTGAATGGAATGCAAATTAATTGTGTTGAAACACCACAGTGTACACTTAAGATCAGTGCATTTTACTATATATTACTATTTTTAAAAATAAATTGTTATATTGCCTACAAAAGAGAGAAATAAATAGGCAGAAAATTCTCTTTGATCAGAATGATGAGTATATATGTATAAATAAGAGAAATGAATTAATCATTTACTTTTGGAGTTTGATAATGCTGTCACATTAACATTGTATTAGCAAATTTATCTCACTCTTCCTCTTTAAACCACCTAAATTATAAACCAACTAGCATTTCTCTATTTCTTTAATAAAGTATTTTGGATGATTTCTTACTCAGCTGATTACTAAATCATTTAAAAATTAGCATTAAGATGTTCTAACCAATCAAGAAAAATCCTTTCACTTCTATGCAAAGGTAATCTGAATATGTTCATCACATATAGGTATCTGCAAAAATAAAGTAATTCAATGAAAAATAGATGTAGAGATCATGTCATATTATTGAACTGATGCCCTGTTGATATTCTTTTATTTTCCTAATCCATGTATGGAGTTAATTTTTTTTTTTACTTTCTGTTAATTCTTAGTAGCACTTAAATTTTGAGATTTCATGTTTCTTTCAAAATTTGGTGATACTATTGAATACTGCATTCTCATTTATTTTGTGTATTTTAGAGGTACTATGAATATTGCTGAGATGTAAGTAGAGAATCAAGAAATGATTTAGTTAGATGTTTCCTGATTTATGCATAGAGCAAAAATCTTTTGAAAAAATTACCTTGAAAAGAGACAGTGGTCAGTTATAATATAATATTAATATGAGCTTAGAAAGGTACAGTAGAGAAAAAGACCCTATACATACCTTATTACTATGAGCATTTTGAAGTATGTTCCTTTGCATACAGGAAATTATATAACGTACTGTTATTTAGCTTTCTTAATTTGAATACTCTTGTTTTAGAATCATTTCTTTCAGAAAACTATAAGACATTTCATATCATTCCATGGAAGCAGCATTAGTGTAACTTATGTTATCTTTGTATATTTACTTGAGATTAAATCAGTCTAATATTGCTTGTTTCGTTATGATTTTGGTGCTGATTAGCTGCCAGACTGTTTCAGAGAACATGGCGTTTTCCTACAGTGAAGCACTGCTGATAAGGAACGATGGCTATGATTAAGAGGGTATTGAGTATTGAAAGGATGTCCACTTTTTAATTTTATTACTGGCTGTTCGCCCAGTCCCTTTGAATGACTGAATAATTCTGCTTCCTGATGGTGCCTAGAGGTGAAAAGAGACAGCATCTGTTGGTTCAAAGTAGTTGGAATGAGGTAACCAGAGCTGCCAAATGATCTCCCTTTCCTGGTGACAAACTGCTGGCATTCCGAAGTTCAGCAAAGAAACAGTTTATAACTAAATTATCATATAATCCCAATTCTCTAGGACACCTTCTTTCAGTTTACATCAAGAATGACAAAGGGATCAATGAGATCACTTATGGTATTTCACCAGCGGAAGGCAGTGGGGAAATGTCTGAAGATAAGAGGCAAAAGGGAGCTTTGATCTGTGCTTGTTTTGGTCTTTAGATGCTTCATAGAGTTAATTATTTTCTTTCAGAAATATGAGATGACATCAGATACGTGGCTCTCTAAACAGGTAAAGTACTGTTTGTTTCTGTCACATGTTGGCCTTTGTACTCATCCTATTCTCTAATTTATTTAATAATTTTCAGAAGTAATTGTAGTTACAAGACTTTAAATCTTTGCTGGGAATGACAAAATAATCTTTTTCCATTACCATATTTATAACTTCGGCTTTCTGTGATATCATTTGTGAGCAGGTTACTTCTGTTTTTCTTTATTTTGTTTGTTGTTATTTTTTGTTTTAACAGGACATAAGTTGAAGAAGTACTACCAAGAACTATATTAAGGTCATTCATATAAGTAAATTTTTGTGTCAATGAAGTAGGAAAGAATGCAATTCATTAAAACTAGAAACCACCTGCATGGTTCAATTGCCCTTAAAATTGACCAAACCTCCACATAAATAACCACGTGGAGAATATTTCAGATGAGCATCTTTTTCCTTACCTGTCTACTGGTCAGTTTGTCACATAAGTAGACCTGGAATAAATATGACCATGACAGATAAAAAAAAAATCCACCAAATGTTCTCATATTAAGAATTCAGAGGAACCAAAAGAAGTTAATCGACTACAACTATGTCTGAATCCATTGTACTATTTATTCCATGACTGCTTTTTACAATGTCACATATTTTGTTTTGTTTGGGTGTGTTCAGGGGTTTTGTTTGTTCTATAGAGTCCTCCTTATTTTGTATTTTCTCCCTAAGTGACATTCACATCTATGTTTTATTCACCACCATGTAGTAAGAACACCAAATTTATAACCCTGGGCACTTGTATGATGAGCTCAGAAGCATCCATATTCTTATTTGTCAACCCCTCCTAAATCTGCAAGATGGTTTACATGTTCCTCAGATCCAGGCTAACATATTTCTCTTTTAGTCAGCCTTATTTCTTTTTATAATAGGATCCAAGGAGCCAAGCCATGCAGCTTTTAAACCATTATCCTAATCATCCTTGAATTTTTTCTGATTTTTATCTGCATATAATTCATCATTAGGTTATTTGATTTTGCTTTCAAAATCAAGTCAGTTTACTTTACTCCAGTACACAAAAACCATCTTGCTTCAAATTAGAGGTACTGCAGTTCCTTCTTAACTGACAAACTTTAAAATAATTATTTTTGTTAATATAGGGAAACAGATTACAAGTAGTTCATAGCTAGAATTCTTAGAGTATAGAGACACTTCATCTCACTCCCCCCTTCCTTTCTTTCTCTTTAACTTTTGCAATAACATTTTAATTTACTTTATAATCATAGGCTTTTAATGTTCCAAGAAGTTTGCCAACGCCCATGTCTTGCAGCATTTCCCATTTCTTCTAGTAATTTGATGGTTTCAGGCCTTAGGTTTAGATCCTTGATTCATGTTGAGTAGAATTTTGTATAGGGTGTGAAGTAGGGGTCTTATTTCATACTTCTGCATGAAGAGATCCAATTTTCCCAACACCATTTGTTAAAGAGACTATCCTTTCTACTGTCAAATTTATCTTCTCAGGTATCTGTCCATCCATTCTGTATGCTGCATTCTGCCTGAGTGACCTCTTTGAAATATGCATTTGATTGTCATCACGTTTATTGTTATATTCTCACTTCCACAACTCAGAACAATTTCTGTGTCTTGCTTCTGCCATTCATATAAAGACTCACATCTTAAATGATCCAAATCATGTTAATTTGAATGTTTTTCTAACTCTGTATCATATCATCCTTACTGCTGCTTTCTCCATTCAAGTCGCAATAGTCCTTACTTCTGAACAGAATTGTGTCAACTTCTTTCTCATTTGAAGTCTGTTCATGTTGCAACCTCAGGTTAAATAACCTACTCTAGAAATCATCCCCTCCAAACACCAAAATCACCCCCTCCAACCACCTTGACTAAATCTGATTCCTCAGTAAAAGCTGTCCTAAAGTCAAGTGCAATCATTGTGTGACATTTCAAGAATTACTTCTGACTTTCTCTAAGATACAGTATCAGCAAGAATATCCATTTTTTGCTCCTCATTGTAATCTAAATGATTAATGTAAAATCTGGTATATAAGGAGGCATGCCTTTGATGAATGAATAAAAAAGGAAAAAAGGCAGTAATGATACTAACTCCTTGTTGGTATGAACATGTATAACAAGACCTAGATAAATAAATAAATATATATATATAAATGTGCATAAATATATATGTGTACAGAGACACTAATATAAATATGAACAATTTTTATCTTTCTCATCATGTAAAATAATTAGAAAAAAGCTTTGATTTTACAGCTAATAATGGATTTTCACAAAATTAAATACTGAAAATAAAAGCAATGACATATGGGTATTTTGTACTCTGAATTGTCCTGCATTATTAAACCTAGTTGTCTATCATTTTTATTGCCAGGGCTTTCATTAGTGTATAACATACATCAGTATAATGCATGCTCTTTTGAGATTACCCTAAATCTTAAATACCAAACTTACGGATATTTAAGAGAAACTTTTTAAAACAAAGCTGCTAGTTATCAATTACTAAGTAAAAACTACAGTTAATAGTTTACCCTAGTTAATTTTTCTTCAGAATCTTTATAAAATGTTGTCAAAGTTCAAACTGGATGAAATTTATGAGATGAACATGGTAACAATGATGAGAAGTAGCAAATTTATACCATAAACAGAAATTTAATACATAAATTTAATATCATAAAGCCACTTTCCGGATCATAAGAAGGGCAGAAAGAAGTGAGCTTTTTGGTCTACCTTTCAAGCAATTTACATTTGTGTGAATAGCACATAATATAGGTAGTCACAGAATAGCTCAATATCACAAGTTCAGTACCAACTGTATCATAGACAGTGACATTTCAAGGAGATAAACGTGACAGTGAAACTGGTTTTACCTTTATGGAGTTGAATGTTCACTGCTGGATATTATCAAGTAGTATAAGATTTTAAACTTTTTAAAAAATGTTTGTATAAAGAAAAGAGATTTCGTGTTCTTAATGAATGATAATGATGCTTCCAACCCTCTCTTCCTATTCTATCTCCTTTTTCCTCTCTTTCTTTGTTTTCTTCCAATTTTTGACATAACATACTTAAAATTTAATTTATGGACACAGGAATAATCCTCTACTAAAAAAAGAATTTAACAAGTAGAAAAGAAAAAGTCCCCTGTCCCACTGGAGTAGAGTTAAGTGCTGTAAATGATCATGAAATCTCAAGATGTAAATTTTGCTCATATTCATGACACTTTTTTGTACTGTATTTATTGGCTATCATAAATCAAAGAAAACATGATATTTGTATTTTTGTGACTGGTTTAACTCACTAAGAACAATGGTTTCCAGTTGTACCCATTTTGTTGCAAAAGACAGGATTTCATTCTTTTTTATGGCTAATAATTCATTGTGTATGCATATGACATTTTCTTTATCCAGTCATCTATTAATGGACATCTGGGTTGATATTGTATCTTGGCTATTGTGAATTGAGCTGTTATAAACATGGGAGTACAAATAACTCTTTCATATGCTAATTTCATTCCCTTTTGGTAAATTCCCAGAAATGGGATAGCTGGGTCATATGGTTCATCGTTGTTTAGATTTTTAAGGAACCTCCATGCTGTCTTCCATAATGGTTATACTAGTTGGCATTCCACCAACAGTGTATAAGAGTACCTTTTACTTCACATCCTCACCAACATATGTTGCTTTTTGATTTCTGGATGATAGCCATTCTAATTAGGGTAAGGTAAAATTTTATTGTGCTTTTTATTTGCATTTCCTTGATAGCTAGTGATCCTGAGCAATTTTCCATGTGTCTATTGGCCATTTGTATTTCATTCTTTGAAAAATACCTGTTTATGTACTTTGCCTATTTCTTAACAAATTTGTTTTATTTTGTTGAGTTCCTTGAGCTCCTTATGTATTCTGAATATTAATCCTTTACCAGAAACATAGTTTGCAAATGGTTTCTCCTATTCTGTCTGAAATCTCTTTACTTCATTGAGTGTTTCCTTTGCTGTACGGAAGTACCTTTAGCTTGATGTAATCCCATTTGGGTATTTTGGCTTTAATCGCCGGTGTTTCTGGGGTCTTATCCAAGAAGTGTTTGTCAATGCCAATGTCTTGTAACATTTTCCCTGTGTTTTCCTCTAGTAATTTCAGGTCATAGGTTTAGATCCTAGATCCGCTGTGAATTGACTTTTTAGTAAGATGTAAGGTTATAGGGTTAGGGGTTTTGTTTCTTACTTCCGTATTCAGAGGTCCAGTTTCCCAACAGCGTTTGTTGAAGAGACTTTACTTTCTCCAGGTAGTGATTTTAGCTCATTTGTCAAACATTAGTTGGTTGTAGATGCACGGATTAATTTGGGAGGGTTTTGAATCTCTTCCATTGATCTACATGTTTATTTTTGTGCCAGTACCAAGTTGTTTTAATTATTAATACCTTGTAATATGTCTTAAATCCTGGTATTGTGATGCCTCTGGCTTTGTTTTTGTTGTTAAATGTTGCTTTTTCTATTTAGGATCTCTTGTGTTTCCATATAATTTTCAGGGATTTTGGGGATCAGATTAACTCTGTAAATTATTTTGGTTAGCACAAACACTTTAGTGGTGTTAGTTCTTCCAATTTATGAACATGGAAGATTTTTCCATTTTTTGTTTCTTCTTCTTTTTTATCTTTAATGTTTTTTAATATTCATTATAGAGATCTTGCACATTTTAATTAAATTTACCCCAAAGTATTTAAATATTTTTGTAATCATTGTGAATGGGACTGATTTTATAACTTATTTCTCAGCTATGACATTGTTTGTGCATAGAAATGCTATTGGTTTTTCATGAAGATTTATTTTCTGCAAATCTGTGAAGCTCTTATGAATTCATCATGTCATATTCAAATAGGGGTAATTTGACTTCCTCCTTTCCATTTGTATCCCTTTGATTTGTTTTCTTATCTAATGACTCTGACGAAAACTCCCAGTACTATATTGAATAGTTAATGGTTAGATTACATCCTTTGCTTGTTCCATATCACCTTAATTCCAAAATCAGAAAAAGATACTACAAAGTAAAGAGTACTATAGGCTAATATTGCTGATGAGCAGAGATGCAAAAGTCCTTAACAATATATTAGCTAACTGAATACAATGACAAATCAAAAAGATCACCCATCTAGACCAAATGGGATTCATCTGAGGAATGCAGGGATGGTTCAACATATACAAATTAATAAATGTGATACATTACATTAACAAACTGAGGAGTAAAAATCATATGATCATCTCAATTGATGCAGAAAAATCATTTGATATAATTCAATATCTTTTCATGATAAATACCTTAATTGGCTATAGAAGGAAATTTGTTATACAAGTAAAATGCTTAAGCACAATAATGAAAGTATATGACAAAACAACAACCAGAAGCATATTAAATGGAGAAAAGCTGGAAACATTTCTTTTAAAATTTATTTATTTGAAAGTCAGACTCATAGGTGGAAAGAGGAAGGGAGGTATCAATCTTCTATCTGTTGGTTTACTGCCCAGATTGTTGCAACAGCTGTGACTGGGCCAAGCCAAAGCCAGGAGCCAAACTTTCCTCTGGGCCTTTCACTTGGGTTGTAGGAACCCAAGTACTTGGGCCACCTTCCACTGCTTTTCCCAGACCGTTAATAGGGAGCTGGATTGGAAGTGGAGCAACAGAGACATGAATCAGTGCCCATATGGAATGCCAGCAGTGCATATTGCGGCTTAACCCACTGTATCACAGCACTGACCTCTTAATTATATTCTTAAAAATTAAAATAAAATTCAAACTCAATGGGAAATCTTTTCTGCATAGTAGAACAGCAAGTAAGGGCAGATACTATATGTTGGAGGAAATTTGGTAGAGTGATATGTTTGTCAAATATTTTTGCTGATATATATATGGACTCATCTATTCAGCAGTTATGAACTGGGCATCAATTGTGTCTAGAGTAATAGAGCTAAAGTGATGATATTGAAAATTTATTTTAATTATTAGATGCCTAGTAAAAAACCAGCAAATTAATAGATCAATATAATAAATGCATTCAATGTCATGATAGAGTTGAATACAGGATACATTTTGGAATAATGAGGAGAAATTCCTTAATTAGGAGAGATCCCCTAACCAGGGAAATTTTGGAATGTCTTATGCTTTATGGAAATGAGTAAAATCTACTTAGACTTAGTACAAAAAGGATGACAGGTAGATTGTTTCAGGTGGAAGAAACCCCACTTGTCCAACAAAGCAAGAGAGATACCCCAGCCAGCAGGAGATGTAATGAACTGAATTACTAACTCTATACTAATTGAAAGGGAACACACGTACAAACACCTAAATATACAAAACATACCCTGAGGGAGTTAAGTATAATAGATAGAATAGAATGAAATGAGTCCGAGAAAAACAAAATACAAAAAAAAAAGGATATCAGATGGAGTTGCATAATCTAGCTTTGTTATTAAACTTTGTTAGGTAATCAGGAAATATTCATTGGTAAAGTGACATTAGAGCAGAAAAGTGAATCAGAGAGAAGGAATTGCCAAATAAAGGAAATATAAGTAGCAAAGGCTCTGGATCCACAGCATGTAGGAAGCAGAAGCCCAGTGAGGAAGCAGGGGAGAGAGAGAAACAAGAAATGAGCATGCAGAGGGCCAGGACTTCTAAAATACTGGAAAGGTGTTTGAAAGATTTACAGTAAAAACCATATCAAAGCCTTTCTTTATATCATATAGTCATGCAGTCATATTCATTAATCAATCAGGTTGGTACTCAGTGTTTTGTCAATTTAAATCAATTTTTCTCAATATTTCCCCTGAAACAAGAGAAAGAAATCTGCATGTATGGCTTTCATCATTCAATTTTCATAAATATTCCTATTGACTTAATGTGCCACTAGAATTTCAGTAAAAATCACCAAATGAGGATTCACACTTGCAGGCATTTGTGCTGGTGTGTAGGTAAAGTTGCGTAGTAAAGATGGGAAATCTGAATGATATAATTTTCTATAGATATCTTTCAATTTCATGGGCTTTAACTTTTTAAATTTCAACAAACTTATATATACTTCCTCAGTAATAAATCTTCAAGTAATTAGAATTACTGACAAAATATATTCAATATATATTATGCAATTTAATTAAAAATAATTTTGATAACTGGCACAGGCATCAGCTTTTCCTCAACTCAACACAGTCTTGTGTAAAGACATGAAAGTTGTTTTTTGAGCCAATTTAAAGGGATCTTTACTCTAATTGTAAAACATTGTTATACACTATGCATGAAACTTCTGCATCCTTCCCACTGTGTAAACACATACATACTTGCAGTGTAGCATTACATTAATTTAAAAAATACTATGATACATCGATTTTATGAGTAATATGACCACTTTAAAACTAATTTCAAATTGTACTTGGTACAACTCACATATCACTTAGCAGTAGTTGACAGCATGTTGAGATTGTTATATGTCTTTCTATATTTTAGAATGAGGAGCCTGTGTTTTCCAGAGATGGTAGCAAATTCTTTATGACTGTTCCTGTTAAACAAGGGGGCCGTGGAGAATTTCACCACATAGCCATGTTCCTTGTGCAGGTAAGTGCTGTTATTTATTTTTTTTTCCTGTGGTTTGATTTCATTTTTATCATGTTCCTAAAGGGTTATTTCCCATTGCATTCTGAGCCTATATTTAACATCTGTGAATCTCTGTTACATCTATCGAGATCACAGACAATGTAGAAAGAGCACCCTTGTCCATCGCCTTAACTGTACCTTTGTACCTTTCTCTCTATCTCTCTCTTTTAAGATTTCATTTATTTGAAAGTCAGAATTGCAGAGGGTGAAAAAGAGAGAGAGAGAGAGAGAGAATGAGTGTTGTGTTCCATCCACTGGTTCACTCCCCAAATGGCTACAATGGCCAGGGCTGGACCAGGTGGAAGCCAGGAGCTTCTTTTGGGTGTCCCATGTGGGTGAAGGAGCCCAAGCTCTTGGGACATCTTCCATTCTTTTCCAGGCACATTAGCAGAGAGCTAGATTGGAAGTGGAACAGCCAGGTCTCAAATCATCACCCAAAAGGGATACCAGCTCTGCAGATGGTGCCTTAACTCATTTGGTTACAGTGCCAATCACTAAGCTATACCTTTCTACAAAAATGTCTCAACAGTTATAAGGTTTAGTGAGCCACACATGTGAGAGATGAACTGAGCACCTCAAAATACATTTAGTAAATGAAAAACACCCAACTTTCAAGGACCTGGGGACACCCTAGATAAGAGGTTTTACCAACAAATGCATGTTACTTATTTTGTACAAGTAGTATCTCAAGGTGTTGTAATAGTTATGAATACTCAAAGCAACTTAAATATCCATCAAAAATTTTATGGTTGACTAAATCATGGAACACTCACAGAACAAACATCAATCCAGGTTTTTATTTTTTTTTATTTTTATTTTTTTTTACTTATTTGACAAATAGAGTTAGACAGTGAGAAAGACAGAGAGAAAGGCCTTCCTTCTGTTGGTTCACCCCCTAAATGGCCTCCATGGTCAGAGCTATGCCGATATGAAGCCAGGAGCCAGGTGCTTCCTCCTGGTCTCCTATGCGGGTGCAGGGGCACAAGCACTTGGGCCATTCTCCACTGCCCTCCTGGGCCACAGCAGAGAGCTGGACTAGAAGAGGAGCAACTGGGACTAGAACCCAGCACCCATATGGGATGCCGGCGTTGCAAGCAGAGGATTAACCAAGTGAGCCACGACGCTGACTACCATCCAGGTTTTTTTTTTTTTTTTTTTTTTTTTTTTTTTTTTTTAAAGCAGGATAAAATAGAGTGTTTATGTAATAACAAAGGCAAAGAGTCTGCATTATACTTTTAAGGACTTTGTGATAAAAGGAAGGGAAATATTTCTTTCTTGTAATATCAAAAGAATGTTAATGGTCCATGTGATTTTATTTAACTATAAAAAGATCAATGGATATACAAAGATTTATTTTCATTAATTTAAAGGCAGAGAGAGACAGATAAACTGCTCTTCTATTGGATGATTTACTTCCTAAATGCCGGCAATCCCTAGGGCTGGATTAGATGGATTAGACACAAGCCACAATATCAGAAATCCATTTGGATCTCCATGTTGCTTACAAGGACTCACATGATTTCTCTCAAGGGTTGCATTATCAGAAATCTGGAATAGGGAGAAGGACCCAGAACTCAAACACAGATACTCTGATGTGATATGTAGGCCTTTGTTAATTGCTTTGCCTAATAGCAACCCCAACAATCATTTTTTTAAATATGATTTGAATTTAATTCCCAACAGTAAAGTTTCATAAACAATAAAGCATAAAATAATAAAAAAAAACTAATCTCACAAGAAAAGGTTATATAATGATAAATAATTGTATCAGAATTAGAATATTTATGAGAGTTTTTCAAACTAGCCAAAAATCATTTCATAACCATAAAATAGAGTGAATTTTAATGCAACAGAAGAGCCTTAACCAATCATTAGTTTTCACATTCTTGGAACCTGAAAGTCTTGTACATATTCTCAAACGATTACCTCAGTGGTTTCCACATATTGTATTGGGTGCTTAACACTTTGAATTATTGAAATCTTGCATCAATAGTTTAAAATTTAAATCTCAACCAAGATATATGCTGTTAAAATAATTGTCACAATTTTAACTTTAATTTTAATCAAAGCTGAAATAAATAATTTGGAATATATATATATTTTCCACAGTGGAAATGTAGATCAAGTTTCCTAGCATATCATTAATGTAGAAAAACAGTTTACACACTAATGTATGATCCAATTTATGCTCTAAAGCTCTAAATAAACTTAGGCAATTATATATGAATAAAATTTTGGATTTCTGTATCAAGTTATTCAAATGATTGTATCAGGTAGGTAGGATTTTAAAGGGATATTTTCATTTTATGTAAATTGAGACACTTCACTAGTTAATTGTTTCATGTGATTATTTTGCTAATTTTTTAAAGATTTATTTTATTTATTTCAAAAGAGAGAGAGAGGCAGAGAAAGAGTGAAAGAGAGATTTTCTACCCTCTGGTTTCTTCCCCAAATGTCCCCAATGAGAGGGGGTGGACCAACCTGAAGCCAAGAGCAAGGAACTTCTTCCAGGTCTCCTGTGTGGGTGCAGTGGCCCAGGCACTTGGGCCATCCCCTACTGCTTCTGATCCATAGCAGAGAGCTGGATCCGAAGTGGAGTAGCCAGGACTGGAACCAGCACCCATATGCTATGCCACAACATAGGCCCACCTTTTGCTAATTAAGAACAAACTTTATCATAAATGCTAAGAAAATACTTTAGCTCCCCCAAAATCACAGTTTTCAAACTTGTGACCATGTCATGTTATTAAATTTTTAAACCTAAGATTATGTTCATATTGTGAATACTTATAAAATCCAAAAATAACAAAAGTTGTACAACACTTCTTTCTTTATATATAGAATTCAAAAGAGGAAAAAAAAACACTACTCAACATATTAGAAAAAAATGGTGTCTTTTTAAAAGTGTGGGGCTGTGGGATTGACTAGGCAGTTAAGGCACTGGTTAAGACGCTCATGTCCCATATTGGAGTACCTGGGTTCAGTACCTCGTGTCCATCCTGACTCCAGCTTCCTTCTAATACTGACCCCAGGAGGCAGAGGTGATGGCTGAAGTGACAGAGTTCCTGCCACCCATGTGGGAGACCTGAATTGAGTTCCTGGCTCTTAGCCTCAGTCTCACCCCAAAGGCCAATTGAGGAATGAACCAGCTGATGGGAGCATTCTCCCAGTCTGTCTGTCTGTCTGCCTGTCAAGTACGTACATGCACATGTAATTTTAATGCATTTGTGGTATTGGATGAGGTTGTGATGTTGGCAGGTAGGAATGAGATATTTATGCAACTAACAGTGATGTATTTCTAAGCCTTGGGAAGAAGAGTAGCTCCTTTATCTCAATCAAACCAACCTCACCTGCCCCCTGATTCATTTTTACCCCTGAAATGTTTAGAAGGGAAACTTCAGAGAGCAGATGTGTCCACTTTGTTCCTCTTCTATATGGAGACTATAATAAAGCTTTCATTGAAGTAGAAAACATTTTTCTCTACTCTGGTTGCTCTAGGGAATTTCTGGTTTGCCTCACTGAGAAATGAACATGATTGTGTGATTTCTTATGGATATTTTGGCAATGAACTGACATTAATCGACTTTGTTAATGAATCAGAGCAGTGCTTGGATAGATAAAACTTACATCTAAGTTGAGACATAAAAAACAAAATCACATACACATATTACTTTAGGAAATAGCTTGAATTCCTTTGATTCAACTTAGTAATAGCTGACAAAGAGCTATTTTATGAATTGCTTATAACTGCCTTATGAATATAAGGTGGGAGATAAAAGAAGTTTGTGGAAATTACATATTATGTAAAAAAAGTATGGATTTCAAATTTTTGCGCCAAAAATACTTATTTTATTTTAAAGGCATAGAGACAGATAGCCAGAGAGAGAGGAGAGGGGAGGGGAAGGGAGGGGAGGGGAGGGGAGGGGAGGGGAGGGGAGGGGAGGGGAGGGGTCCCATACACTAGTCTACTACTTACATGACCTCAGTAGCCAGGCTAAAGCTTTGAGATTGGGCCAGGCTAAAGCGGTGAGATTAGAACTTAATCCAGTTTTTCCAATTGGGTGGCAGGGACCTAATTACTGTTGCCTCCCAGGGGCGGCATTAGCAGGAAGCTGGAGTCAGGAGCTAGAGCTAGACATCAATCCCAGATACCTAAGATGAATGTGCAGATCTTCTAATTACAAATGTTTAAGGTACTCCCATATATATATTCTTCTAAAAGAAATAAACTGAATAAAGATTATATAAAATTATTCACAAACTCAGCACCCCATATTCTCATACCTTTAATCCATTGTTGCATATATTTCCAATTCCTTTTTACACTAAAAAGTGTACATTCCCTTATAGATTACAGTCATAATGTGTAGTGACAACATGTAAATAACCTATAGGCATTTTCTCATGTCATTCAACTTTACTCATAATATTTACATTTCATATTTTTCTTATGTGACTTTAATATCTGCTCAGCATACTATCAATAGGTTTTTGATGCCATATTTAAATGTTCCAATTTTATTCATTGTTAAAATTATTTCTGTTTTTTTTTAATGATTTTTATTTATTTATTTGAGAGGTAGAGTTACAGGCAGTGACAGGGAGAGACAGAGAGAAAGGTCTTCTGTCTGCTGTTCATTCCCCAAATGGCCACAACAGCTAGACCCGTGCCTATCTGAAGCCAAGAGCCAGGAGCTTCTTCCAGGTCTCTCACGTGGATGCAGGGACCCAAGAACTTGGGCCATCTTCCATTGTTTTCCCAGGCCATAGCAGAGAGCTGGATTGGAAGAGGAGCAGCTGAGACTAGAACTGGCACCCTTATGGGATGCTGCCACCGCAGGCAAGGATTAACATACTACCAGCCAGCTATACTCTGGTTTTTGATATAACAGGGGATGCAGAGATAAACACTAATACATAAACGTTACTATTCTATTTGGGACTTTTCCCAAAAACACATT